ATTCCTGTGGCACTCCCCTCCCCCCTTCCCGCCAACGCTAACCCACCCCCCTGCCGCCGGCAACCGACGACGGCGGGCGCTGGAAAACGACGACCGACGACGAACATCGAACGACGACGACGACGACGACGACGAGGTCCGCTGGTCGTCGTTTTCGTTGTCCGTCGTCCGTCGTCGACGTCGTCGTCGTCGTCCGTCGTCCGTCGTTCGTCGTTCAGCGGCATCAACATTGCCATAATGATAACCACGATCCTGCCCCCCTCCTCCTCCTTCTCATCATCATCCTCATCAGCAGCAGCACCGCCATCATCCTCAGCAGCATCATCATCAAGATCATCACCAGCATCAACATCGTCATCATCCTCCTCATCATCATCATCATCAGCATCATCATCATCAGCAGCATCATCATCACCAGCACTACCATCAACATCCATCATTAGCAGCATCAGCTCCATCATCAGCAGCATCATCACCATCATCAGCATCGGCATCAGCGTCCTCATCATCATCAACATCATCATCCTCATCCTCATGATTATCAGCATCACCATGATCACACCATCACCATCAACATTATCAACAGCATCATCAGCGTCGTAATCAACATCACCCTCATCACCAACAACATCAACATCATCAACATCGTCGTGACTGTCGTCATCAGCATCATCACAATCATTATCGTCAGCATCAGTACCATCATCATCAGCATCATAAGCATTGCAATCATCATCGTGTAAGTGAACAACACAGAATATTCCTCATCGTTGTCATGACCATCACTATCAGCATCATCATCATCGTCACCATCGGCATCATCGGCACCATCACTATCACCATCAACACCATCATAGTCATGAGGATCAACCTCAACATCACCATTATCACCATCAGCATCACCATCATCATGACCGACAACAACATCATCGGCATCGTCACCGTCATAGTCGACGTCATCTGCATCAGCAACATCAACATCATCTCCCAGATCGCCGTCATCATCCTCATCCTCATCTTCATTGCAATCATCATCATCATGGAAAGTGTCCGCATCATATTCCTCATTGTTAGCATCATCATCCGAATCGGCATCATCATCATCTTCATCACCATCACCATCACCATCACCATCACCATCACCATCACCATCACCATCACCATCACCATCATCATCATCATCATCATCATCATCATCGTCATCATCATCATCATCATCATCATCATTGGCAACAACGCCATCATCGTCATCGCCGTCGTCGTCACCACTTCACCACCACCACCATAATCATCATCAGCACCAGCATGGCGCCGCTCTATTTAGGTTGGGCAGGTCGGGTGCTCTGTTCATCAAAAATCCGCCGACCCTGTCGGGGTGTGTGAGACGCATCTCCCTTTGAGTCGTCCTCGTCCTCTTCGCCGCTCGCCCTCAAGCATTCCAGCGAGAGGGCAATTGAGCAACGTAGCCATCGAGTCGAAAGAACGCCCGGTCCCTTTGATCCCTCCCTCGCTAGGGGTGGGGCGTTCCAGGGGGGGTCCGGGGTTGTGCACCCCCCCCCCTCGCGGGGGAGTACCCCTCCCTGGGAGAAGCTTTCGGCTCCAGAGCGTCAACGTCGTCCTCGTCCTCGTCATCGCCGTCGCCGTAGTCGTCTCCCTTCATGGTCGGCGGCACTGGCCGTAAGGCAAGCCCCAACCTGTCGGATGGGGAAGATAGTTACAGTCGGACCTGCGACAAAAAACCCTCCGCCAGAAAAGACACGCGGAACATCCAAGGACACCCTCCGCAGAATGCACACCAGCATCCAGGAAGCACGAAGTAGGGAAACGATCTCTACACACCGACGCTTTTCCCGACCCTGCGCTGCAATTCCCACAGGATCGCGGATTCTGGTGTATACGGGATCCTGGTGTATACATTTTTTGTTCTTTTCCCGGGACATCGGGGAAAGAAGTATACACCACACCACCCCAGCGTCGTCCCCGACCTTCAAAAAGTCCTGGGATTCAAGAAACACCCCTCCACTGGCAATGTATACGTTCCAGTTTCCGACTCGGGTGCCCTCCTCGGACCGACCTCGACCTCTTGCCTCGGTCCGACGGTGCGGCATTCGGGGATGGACAGACCTCCCGTGGTTTAGCGAAAACGACCTGAGGCCCAAACCTGGCGGGCGCAAGCCTGCAAAATAACGGCCGCGGCGCCCTCTCGAGAACCGAAAACGGACAATTCACTAATCGGCGTGTCACTATTGGGGGTTCTGTCCACCCCCGAGGCATGGCGGCCTCGACGATGACGGCGACGACACAACCGGGACCGCCCGTTGGATCGTGTGCTCCTCCGCGGGGCGCCGCGGCCTTCCCCCGTGCACCTCCGGATCCTCTGGCCGCGCTGCGATGTCGCTCTGAATCTTCGGTTGCTCCGGATCCCCGAGGGGAACCCAAGCCAAAATCTGAGGATTGAGCGGGGACCGGCCGCCCCGGCATTCCTAGAGTCCTATACCACGACATGTCCTTTGAACCCAACAAAGTTCTAATACTAAAATCGTTGTGAGGCGTGCTAAGATCTCCGGTGACTGGTTAGCAATATTCCTGGTTCGCGCGCGCGGAGCGGCCCCTGGGGGCCCCCGGACGAAAAGTACCCCGGCAAGGTCCCGGGAGAGTGGAGGAGGAGGAGGAGGAGGAGGAGGCGTGGGCGGGGATGGGGGAGGAGGAGGAGGAGGAGGAGGAGGAGGAGGAGGAGGAGGAGGAGGAAGAGGAGGAAGAGGAGGGGGGGTGGAGGAGGAGTAGGAGGAGGAGGAGGAGAAGGAGGAGGAGGAGGAGGAAGAGGGGGAGGAAGAGGAGGAGGAGGAGGAGAGGCGTGGGCGGGGATGGGGAGGAGGAGGAGGAGGGAGGAGGAGGAGGAGGAGGAGGAGGAGGAAGAGGAGGAAGAAGAGGGCGAGGGGGGTGGAGGAGGAGTAGGAGGAGGAGGAGGAGGAGGAGGAGGAGGAGGAGAAGGAGGAAGAGGGGGAGGAAGAGGGTCGTGGTCTCCGCGGGGGGGGGCGCCATCGACTGCCCCCCCCTCCCGCCCCAAGAGGCCCCCAAAAGCCCCCCCAAGAGGCCCTTTGGGGGCCCCCAAGACGCCGCCAAGGAGCCCCAAGAGACTCCCAAGAGGGTCCCAGGAGGCCCCCAAGAGGCCCTAAAGAGGGCTCCAGGGCCGACCAGCAAGCGGGTGAGACGCTAGCCCGAAGGATGAGGCGGAAACAGTTCGACTCATCAATCACCCTTGCAAGCTCCCTTCGCGAATGTCGGCAAGCATTGAACATATTCCTGGACATCCCACTTTAACAGGGGAGTCGACCCTTATCCTAGGCTGCGTGTGGTGTTCGAATGAACCAGAAATCTGGGGCCCAACCCACGGATATACGATGGGGGGGCGTCCATCCTCAATAGGGGTGCGTCCGAATAGCCCCCTTGTGGTGTATCCCGGGGTTGCCCCGTTTTTCTGAGCGGCCAAATTTTTCGGGCGGAGCTCGGGGGTTGGGGGAGAAACATCGCCTGCGATGACATTATCTTCAACGCATCCCCCTTGACATTGGATGTCGAAACAAATGCCGGCTATGCCAACTTCACGGTTACCCCAGTCGCCCCCCTCAGCCCATCCCCGTGCCCTGTGGCTTCCTCTATATGGCGGCGGGACGGCAGCCCCGGACGACTCTACGCATATGCCGACTCTGACCTTCCAGAGCGCCCCCCAAAAATAGCACACCAGAGCTACAGACCTACCTGGATTGCTGGAAATCTCGGCTTCAAGTTGGATGTCGATGATCTAGCGCTATGTTAAACCCTCCTGGAAGATCAAGGGATTATCGTTGAAGGCTTCACCGCATCTGCCGTCCCTCACCTCGCGCTGGAACGGCCGCGACTTGCTCCAAATTTCCGTGGAGGTCCCTGGATTAGCTTGGATCTACCGATATGTACCTACATGTACCTCGATGTATCTGCGTATGCCTTGATTTATCCGGCTTGATCCCCAAAATCGATTGGCGAAACACCGTCAAGCCCTTTGGGAGATCCCCCGTCGTCACCACAAGTCTCCACCCCTTCCCAGGGACGGGTTTTCCGTCCCGGTTTGTTTTTTGACTGTCCCGAGACCTGGTGAAGGCCCCCGAAGGCCGAAAATACAAAGAACATACCGTCGTGATTTTTTCATGACCCGAGGGTTCGGTGGCACCTCGTGAGAGTCTCCCACACCATCTCGTCGGCTCTTGCGAATCGACGCCGATGCGAATCGACACCAAATCGACGCTAATCGACGCTAGCCGACGTTAAACCCGCACTATCTCATCGACTCCCACCCACTAATCGGCGCTGATCGACGATACAATCGGAATTAAGAGGGCAGACCAGGCTCCCATGGTCTGCTCCCGTCGTGTTTTTTTCATGAACCGAGGGGTTCTGGGCTGGAAGGTCAGGGAATCCAACCCTTATAGTGCATCTGTGAGGGACATTGTCTGTTCCATCGCGCCCTATCCGCGTCGAATATGTATCGAATCCGTGTCGGCCTCGTCGGATCCGCGACAAATCCGCGTCGAGCCCGCATGGAGCCCGCGTCGGGCCCAAGAGAAAAGACACCACTCTTGGGGGGGACGGGCGAGGGCCCCCGAATATGCAACGTAAGGTCTGGGCTGGAAGCTGGAAGGTGAGGGAATCCGACCCCTGCAGCGGCGTGCGGCTCAATTGAGCAGGGACCGACCGACTCGGTATTCCTATAGGCCTACCACGACATGCTCTTAGAACCCACAACTGCTCGAATAACAAAAACAATGTTCTTGGAACGTAGAGCCGATGTACTAAAACAGGACCGCCCCGGCCAGGAATGTTCTGATCACAGTTCGTAAAAACTACACAAGGTTCTTAGAACCTTGCTTGATGGGCCTACAGGTACGCCAGGACGCTTCGCCACTGCTTGACTCAAGCCTTGGCCCTCGCCCACAGGCGGCCAGCCGGCGGGCTGGCAGCCCCGCCTCCCGCACGGCCCCGCGCACGGCCGCGTCGACGAGGCCCCCCGGCAGCAGGTCGGCGCCCCGAACCTCGCGGCGCTACGGGGGGGGGGGGGGAAAGAGGAGGAGGGGGAGGAGGAGGAGGGAGGAGGAAGCAGGAGGAGGAGGAGGAGGAGGAGGAGGGAGGAGGAGGAATAAGAGGAGGAGGAGGAGGAGGAGGAGGAGGAGGAGGAGGAGGAGGAGGAGGAGGGGAAGCGGAGGAGGAGGAGGAGGAGGACGAGGAGGAGGAGGGGGGGGCAACGCCCGCTCTTCGCGCCCACTGAGACGGAGCCAGTACGGGGAGAAAATCAGGTGATGATACATCGATAATATCTGAGATCCCGCGGCTCTGGAACGGGTCTCGGGCGCCGCTGCCTCCTCAGAGCGTTCCAAAACGCTTTCAAAACGCTACAGAGCGCTCTGGCACGGATCTATCCTCGTCCTAGCCCCGTCCGAGCCTGAACTTTCGGAACGCTACAGAAAATTGGACTCCAGACCTGCGTGCCTACCTGGATTACTAGAGACCTCGACGGGAAGCGGAGGAGGAGGATGAGGAGGACGAGGAGGAAGAGGAGTACGAGAAGGAGGCGGAGGAGAGGGAGTAGGACTAGGAGGAAGAGTAGGAAGAGGATGAGGAGGAGGAGAAGGAGTAGGAGGAGGAGTAGGAGGAGGAGGAGGTAGAGGAGGAGAAGGAGGAGGAGGAGGAAGGGGAGAAGGAGGAGGAGGAGGAGGAAGAGGTGGAGGAGGAGGAGGAGGAGGAGGAGGAGGAGGAGGAGGAGGAGGAGGAAAGGGAGGAGGAGGAAAGAGAGGAGGAGGAGGAGGAGGGAGGAGGAGGAGGAAAGGGAGGAGGAGGAGGAGGAGGAGGAGGAGGAGGAGGAGGAGGAGGACGAGGACGTCGACGTCCTGGTGCGGTTTCCTGGAGGTCCGCGGACAGCGCGCGTGCGCGCCAGGGTGCCCGCTACCGAGGTGCAGGGCGCAGGCCCGCGCACGTGCCCAGGGCCGAGCACCTCCTATAAGTCGGGCGTGCCCCATCTACAGGAGGAGTACGCAAAGCATAGTCAAAAGTGGTCTGGAGGCGATGTTTTGAGTGTTCGGGCATGGATGCAGGAAGCGGCAAGCGGGCGCGCAGGGGCAAGAACCAGGTCACAATCGGATGCTGCTAGGGGCAAGGCAGGTCCTTGCACGAGCCAAGATGCTCCGTGGAGGCTCAGCTGGCCGCCTTAAGCTCAAGTCGGGCCTGTCCCCCCACAGGGGGGTTTTGGACAAAAAATGAAAAATACACCAAAAATGCCCCAAAGGTGCCAAAACATCTTCATTAATTAGTCCCCAGACTATTTTTTGACTATTTTGTAAATCGTCCCCCTGTAGACGAACAGGCCCGACATACCTCTACAGGAGGAGCACGCAACACATAGCTAAAAGTGGTCTGGAGGCGATTTTTTGAGTATTCGGCGGTGGACGGACCTCCCTTTAGTAAACCTCCCCTTAGTGAAAACGGCCTGGGACCGAAACCGCCGGACGTGGACCCGCAAAACGACGGCCGCGACGCCCTCTCGCGAACCGAGAACGGCCGATTCCTTAATCGACATGTCAGGGCAGGAGGTCTATCCAGCTCCGAAGTATTCAGAGGCCTCCTAGATGGGTTCGGAGTAGATAGGGTCGGGTGATCGCGCCGCACCGCCGAAGCATCGGAGATGCATTGCCGATGCATCGGCGATGCACTAGTGATGCATCGGCGACGTCGGCGGTGCATGGGCGACGCCAGCGTGAAGCAAATCGGGCTCCGCATCGAGCCGCATCGGCGATGCAGCGCGATCATCCGACCCCGTCTACTCCGAACCCATCCGGGAGGCCTAGAGTATTTTTGGGCATTTTTTGACTAGCGCTGAGCGCTAGTCAAAAAAAGCTAGAGGCAAGGAGAGAAGGGAGGACCGAGAGGGAGGAGAAAGGAGAAGAAGAGGGAGAAGGATTGGACGCGGGGAAAGAAATAATGCTAAGAATTGCCTATCCCCCGCGCCTCCCCCCCCTACCGAAATCACTCCTGGCCTCCCTGGGCCTCCCCTAACCCCTAAGCGCGGACATCACATAACGCTGAGCGTTCCTGAACGCTCTGAGCGCGTTCCGGAACGCTCTGGAACGGACTGATCCTCGACCCTGCTCTACTCTACGCTGTCCTACTCCACTCTGCCCGACACTACTCGACCCTACCGTCCCCGAACATCATCTACTATACTCCATGTTGCTCGTTATCTACTCTACTCTACTCTGCTCTGCTCCATCTCTTTCCACTCTACTCTGCTCTACTCTACTCTCCGCTTCTCCACTCTACCATACGCTACACTATTCTACTCTTCCACTCTACTCTGCTCTACGCTGCTCTACTCCACTTTGCTTTCGCCCAACTATACTGTATGCCTATTCTACTTTACTCTACTCTACTCCAACCATTATACTCTACTCCATTATGCAGTACTCTGCCCTACCGTACCCGAACATGCACAACTCTACTCTACGTTGCTCCTCCTCAATTCAATATACTCCTGCTCCACTGTACTCCACTCTTCTCTGCTGTACTCAACGTTACTATAGTCGCCTCTATTTCCGTTCTATTTGACCATATTGTATTAATTACTCGGCTCTACTCGAATCTGATCTACACCTCCCTATTCTACTCTAGCCTACTCTGTCGTGTCCAACTCGTCGTCGCCGGCCTCGTCGTCGTCGTCGTCGTCGTCGTCGTCGTCGACGGCGTCGGTGTCGGCGTCGGCGTCGGCGGCGTCGGCGTCGTCGTCGTGCGTCACACGTCGCGCGTCGCGCGTCGCGCGTCGTGCGTCGTCGTCGCCGTCGTCGTCGTCGTCGTCGTCGTCGTCGTCGTGCGTCGTGCGTCGTGCGTCGTCGTCGGCGTCGTCGTCGTCGGGGGGGGGGTCGTGGACCCTCCTCTTTATTTTACCCGGGGGGGGTTCTGCATCCCCCCCAATCATTTTTCGGGGGGAGAGGGAGGCTCCGACAAACCACCTCATCCCTTGGTTTTTGTTTTTTTGGGGGAGCCCCCCCCCTCCTCTGCCAGCAGCGGCAGAAAGCGCTCTCTCGTAGCCTTCGGTGGCAACTCATGGGAGCCTCCCATTTTCTTTTTACAACTCTTGCGAATCGGCACTAATCGACGCTACTCGACGCTAAATCGACGCTCATGGACGCTAACCCATCGACGCTAACCGGCGCTAGATCGACGCTAACCTGCGCTAAATCGGCGCTACCTCATCGACTCCCAACCGCTAGTCGACGCTGAAGACGGAACTCAAAGCGTATACCGGGTCGGGCGAAAGGGGGGGATAGCAAAGGGGGGGTTTGAGAATCAGCTCACGTAGCTGATTTTCCCGGCGCCTCCCGGCGTCAGGAGGCGGCTATGTATCGAGGAATGGGCCCCTCGGTGGCGCCCAAATTAGCTGCATGCAGCAAATTTAGTAACCCCCACTTTCCCAATCCCCCCCTTTCGCCCGGCCCGAGTATACCAGGCCCCAATGATTTGCTAACGAGGTGGCCGTTCCTCCTCAGATCGACGCCCTCCCGCGGGGTGGCGCGGAGGAACGCTCTGGCCGGCGGCGGCGCGCAGCTCGAGCTCGCACTGCGCGCTCAGCGACGCGAGGGCGGCTTCCCTCGCGCCGTGCCCCGTCGCCGCCGCCGCCGCCGCCGCCGCCGCCCCTCGCCGCCCTCGGGAGGGTCAACGGTAGGAAGCAACTATCAAGGGGCCCAAGGACACGCAAATAAATACACACAAATAAAACGATTCCCCATATTTTCCTATATTTTCTGGGTTTTTGTCTTCCCCCCCACTTCACATATTTTCCAATATTTTCTGAGGAATCGACGATTAATTGTGTCTGTGTGTCCTCCTGAAACTACTGGAAGGTCTTCGTCGGGAAAATTCGGGGTAAACCCACTGGGGGGGGCTGCTGCGCCAGACCAGGCCAGATTCAGCCAAATTGAACGGGATGCAGCGGGATCAGGCCCGACTTGGCCGGACTTCGGGCCAGGAGCTGCCTCTGAAGGCAGGGGGGGGGGGAATGGTGGTGCAGGAGAAGGCGGCAGCGATGCCGAAAAAGCGCAGCTCCTGACAGCACACAGAAAAGAGCACGCCCCCGAGGCGTTTGACCTCCGAGCGGGCCGAGGCCACCGCTGCCCGCTGAGCGGGCCCGTGCCCCCATATGCTCCCCGCGCCCCGGCGCGCGCTCCTTCGTGGGCGTGCGGGTCCCCCCGCGCGGGAGGGCCGTGAGGGGCAACGATGCAGTCGGGGCGTTGACGTAAGGAACCCCAAATAAGGAACGGGGCCCCTTTTTCCCATTAGTTAAGCTTCGATGTCCCATCGAAGCCCTGAGCAAAACCAAAGGCGAACTGCGAAACAACTAAGGAACACCGAGCCCCTCCCCAACGAAAAGGGTTCCTTCCTCAGCGCCCCGACTGTAGTGGGGCGGGCGGGCCCAGGGGGGGGGACATCGACATGGAATGGGCGAGACATCGCCGACAGATTCGCGACGGGCCCCTGGTGGCGACTCCGCACACTCCTGGGCGGGGCAGGCCATCGATCGGGCCCCGATCGGCGATCGGTTGGCTATTTGGGAGTTGATGCGTCCCCCCCCTGCGCTTATCCCCCCCGTGACGCTCAACGCCCTCGCCACCGTCGCCATCGCCCTCGCCAGCGCCGCCGACGTCGTCGACGCCGTCGTTGCCGCCGCCATCATCGTCGTCGTCGTCGGCGTCGCCGCCCTTCGTCGCCGAGCAGTCGTCATCGTCGTCGTCGTCGTCGTCGTCGTCGGTCGTCGGTCGTCGTCGTCGTCGTCGTCGTCGTCGTCGTCGTCGTCGTCGTCGTCGCCGCCGTCGCCGTCGCCGTCGCCGTCGTCGTCGTCGTCGTCGCCGCCGCCGCCGCCGCCGCCGTCGTGGTCGTTGTCGTGGTCGTGGTGGTGGTCGCGTCGTCGCCGTCGTGGTCGGGGCCTCGTCGTCGTCGTCGTCGCCGTCGTCGCCGTCATCGGCGCCGTCGTTGACGGCGGCGTCATCACGGTCGCCGTCGCACTCGTCGTCGTCGTGGCCGCCGTCGTCGTCGCGGTCGCTGGGAAATGGAAGGGGGGAAGGGGGGGGGGAAAACGAGGCGGAGAAGCTCTGATAGAAGAAAAACAAGCGTAAACATACACTTTTGGCGATCCGCGCGGATTTCTCGGATCTGCGCTGGATCCCCTCCCTGGCGCGCGGAGCGCGTCAAGGGTGGCGCCGGAGGTGCGGCCATGGGGGCCTGGCGCGGATCCAAGAAATCCGCACGGAGCGACAACGAAATTCTGTTTATGGCGTTTTCTATTCTACGATCTGGGGCGATCTGTCCGTAATTATCCTCAAGTCGAGCGTGTCCCCCTACAGGGGGATTTTGGACGGAAAAAATTACCCAACCAAAATACAAAACTAATCAACCAATACAAAAAGAAAGTCGTCCCCAGACTATATTTTACTATGTCTGAATGTTTCTCCTGTAGAGCGACAGGCCCGACTTAAGATTATCCTCGACCTGCCTTTAGGTCGGGCGTGTCACCCGACAGGCGGAATGGAATTTGAACGAACTGTTAAACATACCCCAGGAAGATTCAAGAATGATCAAAGATAACAAATACTCGTCCCCGAGGGGGATGGGGAGGAGGAGGAGGAGAAAGAGGAGGAGGAGGAGGAAAACGAGGAGGAGGAGGAGGAGGAGGGGAAGGAGGAGGGGGAGGAGGAGGAGGAGGAGGCGGAGGAGGAGGATGAAGAGGGCGAGGGCCTCAGTTTAGCCTGAGCAGACCGGTCCGCAGCTCGAGCTTGAGAAGGAGGAGGAGGAGGAGGAGGAATAGCAGGATGTGGAGGCAACTACTGGGAGGTCTTCGTCGGGAGGATTAAGGAGGATTAAGCCCCCCCTTGGGGGGCTGTTACGCCGGAGTGGGCCTCGGATTAAGCCGGAAAGATTAAGGAGGATTAAGCCCCGTTGGGGGGCTGATCCGCTGGAAAAGGCCTCGGATTAACCGGGATTAAGCCGGATTGAGCTGGATTGAGCGGGATTACGCCGGATTAAGCGGGATTAAGCCGGACTTCGGACCATGACAAAATCAGAATTTGACCTCCCAGGAGTTGCATCCGAACCCGAGCCCAGGGGCCCTGCGCAGATAGAACGAGAAGCAGCTGCATAAAAATGAACGTCTGCCGCTCGACGCGGGCTTCTTGGATCTGCGCTGGACCCCCTTCCATGGCGCGCTCCACGCGCCAGGGGCGGCGCCGGAGGCGCCGCAAGGAGGCCCCAGCGCGGATCACAAAAATCCGCGCGGAGCGCAAAAAGTTTATGTTTCTGCCGTATTTCTTCCTCGAGCAAACGCAAAAGGAGATGGATGAGCAGCTGGAGGAGACACAGACCCAGGCCCTGACTCGGAGTTTTTTCCCAACGTGGACCCCCTGAAGGTCCCCACCCCTTGCCCCAGGGGGGGGCCCTAGTGCCACGTATGTTTTTTTGTGTGGGCGGCGTTGGGGCCCGGCCAAAGCCACAAACACAGAGCGGCGGGAGGCCAGCAGAGGCAACCTCTGGCCGTGACCTGTCTCGCGAGGCGAGGGGGTCTCGGGTTATGTTGTTCCAATCGTACTTGAGAACCACATCCCAGAAACAATTTCGACCACCCAGAAACGTGTCGAACGAGTGTCGAAGCAGTGTCGGACGAGCGTCTCCCAGGGCCCGACACGTAAAGCCCCCCGAGTTCGGGGGTGCTCTCCTAGCGCTCGAGATTCTTTCTGGCGATCGAGGCGAAAGTATGTTGGAACATCACAAGTCCCGGGAGGGGGGAGAGAACGGAGCAAAGCGATGCCTGGGCCCCGGGATCGGTGGCCACGGCGCGCAGCCGTGCTCGAACAAGCTGGCTGTGGTTGGCTCCCGAGTGGCCGTCGGGAGGCAGCCTCGCCCTGCCTCCACGCCCCAGAGGCACGGAGGGGGCGTGTGGGCCCCAGGCCGCCCTCGGGCGTCGAGCGCGGGGAGGAGGAGGCCTGGGACCTGGCGCCGCGAAACATATGCCAGAACCCTGGACCCCAGTCTTCCTGCTGCACCTCCCGAGCAGGATCGAGGTGTGACGGCCCTGGGGCCGAATCTGGTGCGACAACAAGTGTCACCCAGATCTCGGGGAAGAGGAGGGGGAGGAGGAGGGGGAGGAGGAGGAGGAGGAGGAGGAGGAGGAGGAGGAGGAGGAGGAGGAGGAGGAGGAGGAGGAGGAGGACGAGGAGGAGGAGGAGGAGGGGGAGGAGGAGGAGGAGGGGGGGAGGAGGAGGAGGGGGACGAGAGAGGAGGAGGAGGAGGAGGAGGAGGTCGAAGAGGGCGAGGGGCCCAGTTCAGCCAGAGCAGACCGGTCCGCAGCTCGAGCTCGAGAAGGAGGGGGAGGGGGAAGAGCAGGAGGCGTGACGACGGGGGGGAGGAGGAGGAGGAGGAGGAGGAGGAGGTGGTGGTGGTGGAACGATCTCGGGCCGAGCGTCTGAGTGACCACAGAGCAGCATTCACCAGGGGGATTCTGCCATGTGCGACCTATCGTGCGCAAGAGATGCGACTAAACGACGGCCCCCCCCCCAGACAGGCGGGAGCCCCGAATTGCCTTCGCTCGACCGCGGTTCACGGCGAGCAGACTGAGCGAATTTTCACACACGATGCGGCCCAGGGATCCAGACCCAATTCCCAGCAGTTTCTGGGCATCGCGTCCCTGGCAGCGCACCCCGAACAAATCGGGAAACTCTCAAGTTTTAAAAGACCAGGAAAGCTATAAGCGGGCGGCGTAGGCCACAAGGTCTTTGAAGGAGGAGCGAGAAGGTAAGGGAGGCCTCGGGGGAGGAGGAGGAGGGGGACAAGCGGCGGCAGCAGCGGCTCGGGCCTCCTGCAGGGCGGTCACGGCTCCCAAGACCTCAGTCGACGTGGAGGCCGACACCCTCGCCGTCGCAGAACTCCCCCTCAGTGGCATCTGCAATCTAGAACTGGTAACTCTCGAACTCGACGCGGCAACACTCGCACTAGGAGTAGCTGACATCGAACTCACCCTGGCCATCTGCGAACTCGAGCTGGCCCCCTGTGTCCCCAAACCTGCTATCTGCGAACAAGAGCTGGCTCTCGGCAGCGTCCTTGTAGCAGCCTCCAGTAGATACTGCACGGTGCCCTCACCGTACTGTCGAAAAGAAGGCGACGAACGCGACGCGATGCCCATCTCATCCTGCCGACTGCGTTCTAACGCCATTTGCGCTCTAACACCTGGTGGCGACGGAGCCCGACGCGCCCTCGAGGAGCAGGCGGCCGGGACTTGCGATCTGACGCCCGCAGGGGAAGCCATGACTCGCTTTCTAACTCCTCGCGGCGACTGAGCCCGACACGCCCTCGAGGAGCAGGCGGACGGGACTTGCGATCTGACGCCCTGGGAGGATGCCATGACTTCCGTTCTAACGCCTCGTGGCGACGGAGCCCGACTCGCCCTCGAGGAGCAGGCGGACGGGACTTGCGTTCTGACGCCGTCGTCAGTCACAGGTCGAACTCGTCCAAGGCTAGCTGCAATACCCTCTCCGTGTGAGATCTCGGAGCCATTCCAGGCCTCAGGGTCGCCCCCATCTGGATGAGGCAATTCTGGAGCGACCGCTGCATGTTGTGATCGGCCAAGCTGAGGACTATCTTCGCGAGCCCCTCTTTGAACGCCGAGCTGACCCGAAAGCCTTTGACCAACATCGTGAGATCGTCCATCGAAGAAATACTGTCGAGGCGATCCTGCTGCTCCTTCCACGTTTTGGCGTTGGCCATGCCGACGCGCTCGCCCATCGCTGTCACCTTCTTCGCCACCACCAGGAAGACCTGTACACATGTTGGCCCCATGATGATCTCGGGCGGCTGCTTGTTCTGCGGGTCCTGGTTAAACTCGTCGCGCATCTTGGCCGCCTCCGTGGCGCATGCGCGTCCCGCCTGGAAACCACTCTGAATCACCTCGGCCTGCTCGTCCATCGTCATGGTGACGAACTCTACCGCCATCAGCATTCTCAGGTTGAAAGAGTTGCCCAGCACGGCTCGCATGATCACTGGCATCAGACGCGCACATAGATTCATGTCCATGGCTGGAAGCTTCTCGAGAGTGTCGGCGGAGAGTCCGTACGTCTGGCCCACCTGCATGCGAGCGTCGTCGCGAGCTCCACCACCGCGTTCCGATCCTGCTCCGCCGTGGCTGCCGAGCCCGCCGCGGCCCCCTGGAGGCGAGACAGGGGCCCTGGCGTGCTGCGCGGCGCTCGGGGCGCCCCCGCCCGCAGGCGCCGTGCTGCGCTGCTGGCGCCTGGCACCGCCACGCGGGCGGGAACCTTGCGCCGCTGAGCCAGAGCGGCCCCTGCGCGATCCCTTGTGCTGACCGCCGTGCGATCGGGAGCGATGGGCCGCCGCCTCGAGCGCCTCCGTCCCCAGGCGGTACATCAGGCTCACGCTGAGTAAGTGGAGCCCTCGGAGAGTGCCGACAAAGATGGCGATAAAGTTGCTCTCGATCCTCAAACGGCTCCGAATGAAAACAACAGTATTCGTGAGCACGTGCAGCCTGACCACCAAAGTGAGTACCCCGTGTGAGATCAGCAAGAGGACAGAAGAGGCTCTCAGGGTCCTGGACAGCGTGGAAGAAGGGCGTGACATTCGGGGGGCACCGACCTCGAATCACCGCCTGCACCGCATGCTCCTGAGCAATCCGACGAGTGCGAAAACTTTGACGACAGAAGATGCACTCGTTCGTGACGATGATGGTGTGCAATCTAGATCTGCAAGAGTGCCCCCCTCCCTTCGCAAAGCGCTGATGTGCCAGCAACGCTCTCTTCGTATTGAAGGCCCTCCCGCAGGTCGTCCCGTCGTCGTTCAGAAGGTCGCACGTCCACGTCGCAACCGGTGGTGGGGGCACCTCAAGAGCACCTTCAAGAACCTCAGGAGGAGGCCCGTAGAGCCCAACAGGAGGCGGTATAGCAACGGTCTTGGTTTCAGCCCGTAGAAGTCCAGGATCGAGCGCCAGAAATTGTTCCCGAAGATCCCCGTCCATGAAGAAGGCCCGCACACAGAGTCTCATATGGGGCTCATCCGAGGGACCCGTGAACAGCCATGACTCAAGCAACTCAGCCTCAGACCGCTGGACCAAGACAAGGATGTCCGACGCGAAGCGTATGGCGTATGTGTTCGCGTGCTCGTGCAGGAAGCCCTGTGCGCACAGTGTGGGATGAGCATCGAGCGGTAACTGACCAAAGATCGCGCCAATTTCCTGTGGATGCCGTTCGGGGTGTCGGATCCACCTCTGGTACTGACGCAGCCGCCTAACACGGAGCTCAGCTCGGGCAGGTGCGACTCCGACGCGACGAAAGACCACGGCGTCAGAGAGAGCTCGATAGCGAACGACTGCCTTACCTTGTTCATCTAAAACCACCTGGCCCTCCTCATCCTTCACCTCCACCTTTAGGCAAGCATCTCCTCCGAGGATTTTTCGAGCGAAGCCGATCAGCACACGGTAGGAGGAGGAGGAGGAGGAGGAGGAGGAGGAGGAGGAGGAGGAGGAGGAGAAGAAGGAGGAGGAGGAGGAGGAGGAGGAGCAGGAGGCATGGGTTAGGAGGCAACTAATGGGAGGTCGTCGTCGGGAGGATTAAGGAGGATTAAGCCCCATTGGGGGGCTGCTACGCTGGAGTGGTCCTCAGATCAAGCGGGATTCGCCAGGATAAAGCCAGACTAAGCCGGATTAAGCGGGATGAAGCCGAATTCAGCGGGATTACGCGGGATTAATCCGGATTTGGACCAGGGCAAAATCAGAAATTGACCTCCCAAGAGTTGCATCCGAACATGGGGGCCCTCGTGTGCCTTTGGCCACTGGCGGGCCTTCCGCGAAGCTCAGCCTCTCTCTGCACTGCCTGGTTCGAAGCAGATCAGCGCTGCCCAGCGTCGAAGGACAGTGTGGTTGGACTTGTGGCGCGAGCGGGGTTGTAGTAGTCTTAAGAGGCGAGGGGACGCGGAGGAGGAGGAGGAGGAGGAGGAGAAGGAGGAAGAGGAAGACAGTGGTCCGAGAGGGGCCTCCACTGGCGGTGCTCCGAGACGGCGCCGCTGAGCTGCTCCTGGAACTCCCGCTCCGTCCTCTCCCGCGCCTGGCCAGGGGACGGGTGAGGGGGAACCCTACTAAGTCTACACGGCGGGTGGGGGGGGATCCCTGTGAGGCCGCCCCCCTGCGAAAAAGGATCCTTGTGCCTGCAATTCAGCTGCCAGGGCTTCCTACGTGTACGGCATCCCTAGTGGGGGACTGCGTGCAATAAGCGGGCAGGCGGCGCCGCAGTGCACGCAATCTTTCCGCCGCCAACCGTAGATGCGGGCAACATGTGTTATCCATGTCCACGTCTTGAACTTTCTGAAAGAGGGAACAGAAAAAAGGCCGAGGCCCAGGATATAGACACACCTCTAGCCTCTAAGGCCCATGTCTAGGGATGGGGGCCCGAAGTTCCAAGACGAAGTGGGTATGGATATGCAACTTGCCCGCGCTAGAGTGACAGACAATGGCACAAACAGTATTCCTCCGAGGTCCGCGCTGATTTCTTGGATCGGCACTGGATACACCTCCATGGCGCGCGGAGCGAGCCCGCCAGTGGCGGCGCCTGAGGCGCTGCCACGGGTGCGCATCGCCGATCCAAGAGACCCGCCAGGACCTCGAAACGTTGTATGTGTAGGCCGTCGTGGTGTTCTTCAACGTACGCCCTCGCGACATCCTTGTTAACAAGATCTTGCCTTGTGTTTTACGTTGATCGCAATTCCTGGAGATAGGGGGACCCAGACCCATCGAATCGCGACATCCACGGCGGACGCTGTGTCGCTAATTCCGCCCTCTTCGAGCCTGCTGTGGCGTCCTCGTCGCCACGGCGGGATCCGCGTTGAGATCCTGGCCAGAACGCACCCCTGGGCTGGTCAGGGTGTCGATTGCCAACCCCTGAATTGAGCAGGGACAGACCGTCCTGGCATTCCTATAGTCCTACCACGCAGTGTTCTTAGAACCCAAAAATGTTCGAATAACAAAAACAAGGGTCTTAGAACATAAGCCCGATGTGATAAAACAAGACAGCCCCAGCCAGAAAAGTTCTAAGAACATATCGTGGGAACCACAAGTGGTTATTAAAACATTGTTTGGTCGGGCTATAGGCGAGCCAGGACGCTTCGCAACAGCTTGACTGAACTCAAACCCCTTCGCGTCATGGTACGAAAACCACGAGGGCCGTTTTGTTTTGTCCCCCGTGTTCGGCCTCTGCGGACGGCCGCACACGGCGCTCTGGCCCTGCGCGCCCGGCTGCTGCTGCCCGCCGGCTGCTCATCGTCGAACTCTTCGGCGTCCGAGCGTCCCACCTTCCTCTCGTTGGCCTCCCCCCTCCCTCCTCGCCCGCCCGCCAACTCGCTCGTCAGTGCCCCCACCTAGCTGTTGCGCTGGTGCGGATTTCGCCGCCTCGCCGCCGACGAACGAATGCTCGGCCTCTGCGGGCCCGAACCGAGCCTCGGGGCCGCCAAACAACGACTCGGGATGGAAGGCTAGGCCTGTAGGCAGCGGGGCCAAGGCCCCTGGGGCCTCCCCGCCATGAAGAGAGCACGTCGGGGCTGTAGGCAGGAAGCTCCTCGGCCACGCGCGGGCAGCGAGATCGACGAGCAGCGGTGCCGCCACTCCCCGCGGAGGGAGGGGGGTCACTCGCATACGAGGGACCGACTGCAGAAATGATATACCCCAAAACTCATGCTCCGCCGAATCGATGCAGAAATCCGTAACATGCCCTGTTGATGCACGGAGCATTCGACGCATCTCGTGTAGATTCGACAAACAAATCAATGATGGGGTACATCAATTCTCTGGTCAATCCCCTACTCGAGACATTGAGGCGCCGTGACTTATGATGTTCCCGTCCTACTCAAGGACAACATCCCAGAGGTAATTTCGAGCACCCGGAAAAGTGTCAAATGAGTGTCGAAACAATGTCGAAATGGTGTCGGGCGAGTGTCTCCCAGGGCCCGACACGTGAAAACCCTCGAGTTTCGGTACTTTTCTGATGCTCGAAATTCTTACTGGTGATCGAGGCTAAAGTAGGTTGGAACATCATAAGCCGTGGCGTGTCAGGAGGTTTCCAAGCATATCACAGGCCGCTGGGGGGAGGGGCAAGCAGGGAGCAGGGCACCGCTCAGACTCACGCGGACGACCTCCGTGAAGGGGCCCTGGGACACACAAATAAATACAGACAAACAACAATATTCTCCTATATTTTCCCAGGTTTTCTGGGTTTTTGTCTTCCCCACCACTTCCTATATTTTCCCATATTTTATGGGGAATCGACGATTCATTGTGACTGTGTGTTTCTTTCCCTCCTGACTCCGCCCCGCCCCTTGGGGGGTCCCCGGGTGCCGTCGGGGGGGCCTCACCCCGAACGCCCGCGATCGCGCTGCCGCTGCGCTGCGACGGCACAAAGCAACCGTCGGTGCAGCCATGCGATGCAGGCCGGCTGGTCACAGGCGAGCTTATACGATGAACTTCGGAAACTTCAGAGCTCGAGCCTCGAGACCCGATCGCCAGGGACCTATTGACAAAACGACGCGACGATCGGGACAAAATCGGATCGGGAAAACTCGAAATCACTGAGAATCGGCGGGTTTGGAGGATGTACTGGGCGCCGCGGCCGCTCCAGAGCGTTCCGGAACGCTCTGAGAGCGCTCCGGAACGCTCTGGAGCGATTTATCCCGATCCTAGCCCTGTTTTAATTGACCCGGGCCAATCCAGACCCGGGTCAGTCAGGCTTCGCAAGATCCTGCAACATCTTGCAGGATCCTGCGCCCAAGCCCGGGTCGGTGCGCCCCTGGCTCTGCAGGATCCTGCAAGATCCGGCCGGCGCTCCGACTTGCCCTCGCTTGCATGGACCGCCCCGAGGTGGGGAGATCAAGAGGCACTGATACGGCTCCTCCCAGGGCTAATTACTCCCAGGGTGCCCTCTGACCAGAATGCCGAGGCGAATCCAGCAGGGGGCGACCACTTGGCATCGCTCGGACGTCCATTCCCTGTTTTTTTTTGTTGGTTTCGTGCGAGGATTTTTCGCCAAATGATCAAGGATGCTCCTCGATGGTCCTCGCCAAAAGAAAAATGCACACGTCCGAGCAATGCCAAGACCAGGGCCACCCGGGAGGCCGAACAACAGGGAGAGAACGGGCGAAGGGCAGCGTTGCCGGCGTCGCCTCCTCCTCGGCCGAGGCAGCCCGCGAGCAGCGCAGCCTGGGCCGAGCAGAGCTGCCCCCCTGGGGGGGCGGCCGGCTTGACCCCCGTTTCGGGGCTCCCGGGGTCGTGCGAGACACGCCCGTCCAGACCTCCTGAGAGCATCGGAGGCCTCGGGATGGGAGGAGGGAGGAGGAGGAGGGAGGAGGGAGGAGGGAGGAGGGAGGAGGGAGGAGGGAGGGAGGATGAGAGGATGAGGAGGAGGAGGAGGGAGGAGGAGGAGGAGGAGAGGAGGAGGGCGGAGGAGGAGGAGGAGGAGGAGGAGGAGGAGGAGGAGGATGGAGGAGGAGAGGAGGTGGGAGGAGGAGGGGGGAGGAGAGGGAGGGGGGCAAGGAGGGGAGGGAGGAGGGGGGGCAAGAGGAGGGGGGAGGGGGGGCAGGAGGAGCCCCGCGACCTGCGGGGCGGCTACCAGACAGCCCCTCCCAGAGGCCTGCATCCCTGAATCTCGGCTCTGCTTCAAGCCTCGACACATGGGGCTTGACATCGATACTACCAGGCGGGGACTTTGGGGCGATGTTTCCCTGACTACCTACCAGACCACCCCAACCCAACCCGAAGACCCGAATTTCGGGTTGGGGGGGTAAGGGTTCCACGTGTTTTTTTTTATGTTTCCCGACCCCCCCTCCACTGGAAATCGAGGGTAAATCTGGGCCTTCAGGTTGGGTTGGGGTGGTCTGGTGGGTGGTGATTCCCATGGTAGGATTGGCCCAGGATGCGTCGCAGGAATTCCAGGAAGTATCTGGCGGCCCTCGTTTCTGCCGCCCGCGTGGAACATTCTGACATCTTGGAATCCCTGCAAAACTGGGAACATTATGACCTCTTGCTATTCTTCTGGGCGGGCGGTGGATGTGGATACAGCCTGACCACAGGGGCCCCAACTATATCCGTGTCCACCGCTTGCCGAGGTCCCCGAAGATTCGTCCCCCAAGCGATGGCTATGAAGAAACCACCGCTCCGGATGAATGCCCTGGTGCCTTTGTCCAGCCCTCCTGCAGAGGCCTCCTATTTAGTTGGGGTCCCGAGCGGATGAGGCCGGAGGATCGCGCAGCATCGCCCATGTATCGGCGCCGTCGGCGTTGAAAAAATCGATGCATCGGGGGACGCGGCGCGACCCTCCGACCCCATCTGCTTCGACCCCATCTGGGAGGCCTAGATGAATCGCCGCCTCGGAAGAACGCCCTGCATTCGGGTGTTGCTAGAAGTGCCCCTGGCTCGAGGTGCCCCCAGCTTCTCGTTCCATCCAGGAGCCCCAGAGGCCCTCTGGGCCTGGCGGTGCCCTGGAGGCCGCTTCCCATGGGCCACCCCGAAAATCCTGGGGGCACCCTGGGCCAGGGGCACTTCTAGCAGCACCCGCTGCGTGGCGCTTGCTGCCCAGCCATACCCTTAAGTCGGGCCTGTCCCCCTACACGGGGATTTTGGACGAAAAATAAAACATAGTCAAAACATGCCCTGAAGTACCACAAAATGCTAAAAGAAATCGTCCCCTGACTATTTTCGTACTATTATTGAGTTTCCCCCCTGTAGAAAGACACGCCCGACTTAACCCAAGACAACACAAACAAAAACACCCGCGAGGGTTCCAAGACGGCACGACAGGGCCCCAAGACGGTCCAGAAGGCGCTTCGGAGCACCAGGGCCCCGAGGCGCCCGCGAGAGCCCCACAGGACGGCCTCCGAAGGGGCCGCACGGCGCAAGAGCACCCCAAGACGGCCCAAGACACCCCCCAGAGTCCCCAAACTCCTCTTGGGGGGGAGGCAGCGAGGACCAACTACATGGGGGGGGGGGGCTGGCTCAAGCTCGACTGGCTCAGGCTCAGGGGCGGGGGGGAATTTGGCTGCTCGTTCTGGAAACCTTTTGGAGCCG